TGTGGCACAGGACAGATGTTCACCACAGGTGGGGCATCACCACCACTCTTGAGTGCCCAGGACGACGCTTCTGCTTGCTCGCTCATTAATTTGACAAGCATTTTCCGGGCACCTCCCGCGTGCGAGGCAGGGTCAGCCCCTGCTCTCTCCTCTCAGGCAGTGATATGAGCGTGTTGGAACAGACTCAGGTCCGAGACAGAGCCACATGCTGCTCCAGATCCTACAGGAAGACATGCCCCTCCGCCTGGAATGTCCCTCCCCTCTGCCTCCCAGAGCTCCTTGTCAACAGTGAGCTCTTGTTTCCCAAGTCCCAGCTTAAAAGTTCAATCCTTTTTCAGACTTCTCAACTCAGCCCACCCCAAGCAGGAAGATTCAGCGGCTCCCTGGTCTCTCTTCTACCCCCAGGACCCTTTGCATATCCATGGAGGGAGAGGGAGAGGGAGGGAGGAATGGCATCTCCAGGGCTGGCTGGGGAAGGAAGGTGTGATGCAGGGGGCAGCTGCAGGGACTCAGAACTCCTCTGTGTTAAACATGCCTTGTCAATTCCAAATGCCCTCGGGCGCCCCAGGCTACTGCCTCTGCAGAAAGGAGCTTGTCCTAGGCACTGACCCTGACTTGCACCTTGGGAGGGGTGGCCCAGAAACGGGCTCCTCTCTCATGCCTCCACTGCAGGCAGGAAGCAGAGGCCCCAGTAGAAGCCAGGGGGCCAGGCACCTCCCATGAGCAGAATTTTGCTGTGGTATGAACAACTTTAGTGTGTGAAGCCAAAATCTGGGGTGTATATGCAACAGCAGTGAGCTTACTCTAACACAGTCCCCAAAGGGGGAAACGGGTATGGGAAGGGGGTGGGGGACAGCAAGGGTGCATCGAGGTAAGATCAAAAGCAGAGGGTTCTCGAGGCTGTACTTCCGGCTCTCCCTTCTCTCCCAAACTCCCACATATTTCCCTAACATTGATCGATAACCAGCTAGATGTGAAAGGCACAGAAAACCATCCCTGGGGCTCATTAGAGAGGCTGGGGACTTAAGAAATCTGGCTCCCACCCCCATGTGGTGACCTGCTCATTCCCGGGAGACAAAAGGCAAGGTGTTATGACTGCAGAGGCGCAGGGCTGCTGAAAACAGTCTACACGTCTCCAAGCAGCCCAGGCCGGCTGCCGCCGACCTCCTGGCTCAGAGGCTGCAAGAGGAGCCAGCGTGAGAGTCAGGCAGGTGTGAGGCCAGGCCTGTGAGGTCCCCACCCTCTCAGCACCCGCTTTAATTCTAGTTCGCGTGCGAGCCACCCGCACGCCTGCTCTGTGCTGGGCTCTGCTCTGAACACTGCACGGCACACACACACCTTAACTCCTTCAGTTCTCACAATGGCCTGAGATGGGACCCAGGAGA